TAGTGGGCAACACAAGGCAGACTGGAAGTGGGGCAGGAACAGACTCATCCTGACTTGCAATTCAGGGATTGGCTGGATATGGTACCTTTCTTGAGTCTATGCCCACTGGCACTGACACGGTCATTGCTCGTCCAGTCCAGGTTCTGCTGTGTCCTCACCACCATTGTGTCACACTGCCATTGTGTCCTCCCTATCACAGCTGTGAGATGAATCATTGAGCCCTATTTCTGTGCATCCCCTCATCCAAATTGGCCATCTTGAGTCTCAGTCTGTGCCTGGTAGATGGTCTGGGAATACCCATGTATAGCCTTTTTGTCTTTTAATATAAGATATGCTCTATCTTTATTGGAGACTCCTACATTGGAGAATTCTCCAGTATAAGCAAGTGGTATACATCCTAGGCAGATCACAAATGGGAAATTTCTGCTCCAGGGTTAGTCATTCATGGGCTGGAATAGACCCATGGATGTTTCCTACAAAATTCCTATGGCCTATTCAGAGTGGAGTTTGTAACTTTACTTTGCAGTCATGGACATTTAAATCTTTGGTTTTGGGGGAGTTTGTGTTTTATTTCCTTTAATATGATATTTTTGATGATGAACTGACTCTGGAAAATATTCTCATAATCTAGTAGAATTCTGTCTTGATACAGTGAATACAAGCATTTCCTGCTGTGTTGATAGGAAAGAGGAGAAGCATTTCCTATATCTAGTGGCATATGGTGCTAAGATTTTATAATACTGTCTTATAAAGAGCCAGGAAACTTCCTCTGTTTAAAAATGTGTGTTTATAAACAATATACTTACAATGAATATTCCCATCTGTTAGGTGAACATAATTTGTGTAGGAATTCCAGTAATAGGTAGAGGACTTTGCAACTCTTTGTAGGATATTTTCTCTGGTGAGACATTAGACTAAAGAGATGGTAGAAAACAGCATATGCCTAACATTCAATTTTGTATCTATTTCTCCCTGTTGTCTGAAAGCAGTGCTATTTTGTGCATTAGTACATAGGATTATTATAGAAATTCATAAAAATTTAAGATCTATTTAGGATACTGAAGACAGGAAAAAGGTAGACTGAAAATTATATAAATATAGTTATGCTGCAATGAAAAAATTGTCCTTGTAGCTTTGTAAATCCATACTTCAATGACTGGTCCTATTTCTTTTCTGTAAAATTTTGTTGAATTTGTTTTAATCTAATCTCAAAACTCCTCTTTATTGTAATCACAATATATAGCAATCAAAGCTGCTCACTCTCCCATTCCTGATTTGTAATTTCATTAAGTGACATTGACTCTTTGTGTTCAGTTTGATATTATTCTGGTTGTCTTCATTAATTAATTTTGAGATGAAATGTTCCTCACAATGGAAGAAAAAATTATAAGATAAAAACTCAAATATTTTTTTCTTATCATAAAAGCCTTTATAAATTCTGCCTAGGATCTCAAGACAGGTTATCAGAGGGAAAACATACTTTGATTAATATTTGCTTAATGTTGAACTGTCTGAATTGTCCAATCTAAATTTTTATTCACTTAAAAATAATCCCTATCAGTTCCTTTTTTGGGATGACTAATTGGCCATACTTGAATAAAAAGATGAACAATTAGTTGAATATAAATGATTCAAGGTATGTTTGGGAACAGTGCAAGTAAAGTATGCCATATGCTTTGTCTTTTCCTGATTTTTTAATGAGCTTTCACTCATTGTATTTTGTAAAAGGACATATTTTTAAATTTGTAGACACCTAGTAATTACACACCATTTTTGTATGAAATGATGTTTTCTGTTTTTCTGTAAATAAACTATTTTGTGAGTGGGTTTGAGCTCTCTTTTCTTTCTGGTAATAGATACCTTCCCATATGCACAGTGCCCAAGGCTCAAGTCTTACACTTTGTTTTTTGCATTCATAGATGAGCTATTTTCTGCATTTACAATGCATATCCATTCACTTTTTAAAAAACTTTCAACGGTACCAAAGGTGAAACTCAGATCCTTCAAAACAAACTCTGTACCACTGAGCTGCATCCCCAGCTCATACTTTTTTAAAAAAAGAAGTGACATGATTGACATACAAAACACTGTACATGTTTATTGTACACAACTTAATGAATTGGGAGGTCAGTATACATGCATGAAACTGTCATCACAGTTCATAGTATGAAGCCTCTTGATCACCTCCAAATATTTCCTCCTGTCCTCTTTATATATTACTACTATTTTTATATAAGAACATGTAGCATAAGATCTCCTCTTAACAAATTTTAAAATATAAAATTCTATATTGTTGTATCCTTTTAATATTTTTAAAATTTTATTATTTTTACTCGTATGTGTCTACAGGTCATAGTGTCTGAATTCCCCCTGGAGCACTGGTACATGTACATAACAGTTCTTAACTCTTTTTTCATCCTTTTCTTCTTCCCTCCTTCTCCTAGTCTCCTATCTGCAATTATCCCTTCCTATTATCTTTTATTTTGCTCTCTGTTTCTATTTTGGGTTTCTCATATAAGAGAAGCCATGCAATATTTGCGCTCATGTGTCTGATTTATTTCACTTAATATTGTGGTCTCAAGGTGCATCCATTTTTCTAAAGATAACTCAAGATTATTCTTTATGGCGGAGTAGTACTCCATTATGTATAAATGGCAGTTTCTTTTCCTGTTTGTCTGCTGATGGACATATAACCTACTGTCAAGATTGAGCTAATATGAATGTTGTTAACTATAGGTACTATACTGTACAGTAGACATCTAGGGCTTTTTCAACTTATATAGTAGACATTTTGTTTTCCCATTTCCTCTCCCACAAGACCCTGACAGCTAAAATTCTACTCTGCTAAGTGAAATCAGCCACAGGGAGAAATAAAATACTACGTGAGAATAACTTACAAGAACTTAAAATAGTTTAACAACAGAAGCAGAATGTCCTTCAGTTTCATCCATATTGTTGAAAATGTTATTTTCTTTTTTAAGACTGTAATATTCCCTCATCTGTACAGAGAAGGTAAACAAAAAATACCATGTTTAAGTAAAATGATATCACAGTAAAATATGTATTATAATTAATCCCTCTCAAAATACTCCTCCTTTTTTGAACACATTTATTCTTTTGTTTTTTCCACTTTCTAAAGTAGTTCTAGAAGTCCTCTTTTGTTAGTGTCTTTAGCGGGTATGAGCACAAGTCAGTGAATGTTGCTGCTAAGTGCCATCCAACTGAAAGGCAAGCACATTAAAAGATGACAGTGTGTCTTCGTCCAACTTGTTCACTACATCTAGCACCATGTGCCTTCTAGCTGTTCTCCAAAGTCAAAATAATTATGAAAGGCAAAGGTTTTGAAGGGAGATTCAAAACATGGTAGTAGCCACAACACTACAAAAAAAGAAAAAGCATGTAAAAGGACTTCTAGAACTACCTCAGAAAGTAGACAGAATAATAGGCTAAGTGCATTCACAGCAAAGGGGAGCATTTTGAAGGGGATTAATGCCAGTATGTCTTTTACTGTAATAAATGTTTGAAAAATTAAATATTCACCTTTTTTTCAGTGACACTTCCTATAAACACATTGTCTTTAAAACTGCTCATCTGTTGTTAGGTGCTTGTATTGTTTCCATGTTTTGGTGGTTATAAAGCTACAATGAACATGGGAAAAGCAGATATTTTTTCAGAACTTGATTTCAGTTCCTTTGGATTTTACCCAGAATTTGGGTTGCTGGGTCATATATATGTTAATTGTGTTTCGTAGTTTTTGAGCTCCCTGCTACCCCCATATTCTGTAGAGGTTACAACCAGTTTACATTCCCACAGTGTTCAAGGGTTTTCATTTCTCCATACCCTTGCCATCCTCTGTGTGTTTGTTGATGTAGAAATTTGATTTGAGACCATAGCTCATTATGACTGTGGTTTGCATTTTCCACCTCTCTTCTTTGATTTATTTGTGAACATTGTCTGGAAACCAATTAATGTACCATCTCAAGTAGTGTAGCAGTTGTGGGGTCAGGAGCTGTGCTGCTTTCTCCAATTGGTCATTAGTTATAGATCCTTACTTGTTTGTGTATTTTAAAATGTTCTAAGTTACAACACTAGCAGCAAACTTAAAGTAGGCCTTTTACAGAACCATATCTTTTAATTATGTTTTTCCTATGAAAATGTTCTAAAGTTTTTAGCAAGTCATGGATTTGGAAGATGATTACTTATATTTACAGAAATGGGAAATTACACCTGAAATGGCTTTTCTATCTTCTTAAAAAATTAATTCAGCCAGGCTTGGTGACACACACCAGTAATTCCATCACTTGGGAGGCTGAGGCAGAAAGATTGCTGTGAATCTGAGGCCAGCCTGGGCAACATAACCAAGTTCAAAGCTAGGCTGCACAACATAGTGAGATCCTGTCTCAAAAAAAAAAAAAAAGTTAGTGTGAAGTCACATGTGGAGAATTAAGAAAAGAAGGTATGTAAATTACTTAGGGAGAAGTTCACACCAAGATGGATAGAGAAGCGATTCTTGGGATGACCATATCTCATCCCAAAAGTGACATTTGAACTTTCACATAGAATAGTGGAACACATTGTGGTAAGGTTATCACCAACTGCAAAAGTCATTTCTAGAAATTCTGAGGCTTTTCAGGAAATTAAAAGAAATAACTTTTGATTGTGAGGTGTAATTTAAATGGAGTTATCTTTAATTATTTACATGTTGCATACAGCCTATTGTAAATGATACCTACCTTGCACATGACATTGTGCTAGGCACCAGGATTAAATAGTAAATAAAACAGACATGGATCCCAGCTTTACGTGCTACTCACAGCCTAGTTAGGAGGCAGATATTGATAAAATAATCTCAGAAATAAATCACAACTGGTATTGCCTTGGACAGGGAAAGAATGTGTAGTTCTTAGGTTACATAAATAATGTATGTGGAGCACTTATTATATGAGATGTACATACCATTCTAGATGTGACCATTAACACTTCTTTTTGGTATTTGGCAGGTACATTATTTCATCATTACAGAAGCTTGATGCTGGATTTTACCGCTGCGTGGTACGAAACAGAATGGGAGCTCTGTTGCAAAGAAAAACAGAAGTTCAAGTTGCATGTATGTGTACAGTTTAAAAACCTCCCACATTGATGAACTAGACAAAGCAGTTGTGGGGAGCAATTCACAATTGTTTTCAATTATTGTAGGGACTGATAAGTTATCTTCAGCTCCACCAAAATACAATGACTGCTAAAGCTGATGAGAGATGAGTAAACAGCTAGTGTGGCTGACTGGGGAAGGGCTGTGGAGGCAAATTCTGCTTTTTTTCCAGCTGTAAAGATGAAGGGTCCTTGCATGACCCTGGGAGGATAAATGGAAGAATCAGATGACTTCCGTCCTGTGAATCAGTTAGTTTTCTCTTAACTCCTGTTATTCTGGGATTCAAAATGTTTGTACATTTAGAAAATTTAAATCCAATTATGTCAAATTATATCAATTCATCAGTTCTTTCCAATGATGATGTGTGTAGAAATCTTTTTGCTTGACTATAAAAAGTACATGGAAAGTTGATATACTAGTTGTAAATTTATAGCAATTTATTCTTTATTCAGCAGGTCCATTTTAGAGAGTGAAACTTTTAAAAGTAACTGCAAGAGTTATCAAAATTCAGGGAGCTTGAATTTTAATGTCATCTTCAGGAGGAAGAGGTCAGGGAATTTGGCTTCTACATTTTGTCTCCTTTTATAAACCAAAATGTGTGAAGAATATGATCTATCTAAAATGAACTGTCTGCTTTATTGTGTTTTAATGTACTACTAAAATGTCTCTCTGCTTAGCAGTAAGCAGTGTTCTGAGATATTAAAATACGACTTTATGGAACAATGTCCAGCTTCTAGGTTGAGCTGTGCTATTTGGTGATAATAAGATTTCCTCACTTGTTATTTTGACTCCAGTTAAAGCCTGCAGCTTTATGTTACTATATAAAATAAAATAGTACCTAGTTATTTTAGAATTCTACCATAAGCATTAATGACTGTTTGAGACACTGATACTATACATGCTTAATTATATTTTAAATCACTAGGAAGGCATACATTTTTCTGTGTTGTAATGATGAAGTCACTCAGCTAATTCAGAACTTTTATTCAATAGGGTAATGGAAAACATAATAAATAGAGTGCAGTCAATACCCAAACCACATTTGAGGAAGTTAAGTGCCTGGAATTTATTATATTAAATTCTATTTTATAAATTTGAGTGTGGACATCTTTGTTTAATTGTATATGCTTGATTCTATCCTTCATCTCTATTGCTTAGATTTTCTCTTAACTTCCTTTTCTTCATCCCTTTGATAACAAATTTTACTTTACCTTAAATAATCATGTGTATTTTCTTAATCTATTACATCTTTTCCCTCAAATATTACATACTATCATACAAAAAATAATTTTTGAATGGAAAAGCCATAGATAATAGAGCTCTTTTATGGAAGATTTCAAACTTACATACATTTGAAAATAGTGTTTGCTGTGTAGTAAGTCTCTGACTAATGAATGAGTTCCATCCTGGGAGAACATATATAAGTCAGATTCATTTGTAATCCAGCAAAGTGAGTCCTACACATTACACTTGTGAATCTTATGCAGTATACCCATAGAAGTTCACAACTTGAATGTTTGTAAGTTGAAAGGTTACTGTATCTATGTGTATACACATTTATCTGTATCTGATCATAACATGAAAACTTTTTTTAAACATTTCAAGGTATCAGTTTAAAATTAGCTGTTTACATCTACAAAGCAATGGCTGTATTTTTTTTTTCTGTGACCTCATTTTTCTAATGTTTTTAAGTGATAGAACAATGACTGGCTCTCCCAAATTAAATCAACAGTGTAGGGGTGGATGAGAACTCACTATAAACTGTGTAGTGGTTAGAAAATACTGCTCCCCAAAGACCTGTTAGGAAGGCATTCACCACAGAAATGAAGAGGAGGAGAAACCCAGGAGAGCAAAGGCCTGAGCTAGGGAACTAGCTGCAAAGATAGGATTTGTAGCTGGGAGATACCTGGAAGCATTTTATTAGTGTTTCTGTGAAAGCTGCTTTCTGTGGGAAGAGGAAGCATTTTAACAGTTTATTTCAGTACACAATCAGATGCAATCATTCCATTGTGTTTTTACAGTAAGACAAAGGCTGTGAGGCTCTGCTGATTAATGCACTTCTTGGTCACTGGAGGTGGGAGGCTCTGCCTGTGCTTCTCTCACAGCCTGGTCAGCACTCCGCAGTGCTGCCATTCAGCCTTGCTTGTCTTCTTGTTAATGTATAGCATCACTGCTGACTTCACTGTGAAATATAGTTATTTCCATGTTTGAGCCCCACTGCCCCCAACAAGAGTGTTTTCTACAACCTAAACAGTCTCATTTTTCTCTGCAGATATGGGAAATTTCATGGACACGGACCAAAGGAAAATGGTTTCTCAAGGACATGCAGCAGTTCTCAACTTACTGCCCATCAGTAGCTGCCCGAAACCTCAAGTGACTTGGTTTAGAGAAGGGCACAAGATTATTCCAAGCAACAGAATGTAAGTTGCTGGGAACATTAAAGCCTCAGATACAATTAATTACATTTGCTCATACTATTTGCATAGTAAGTGAACCAATTAAGGTTAGCAGTGACTGTAAAAGAACAACCTAGCCTAGAAGTCTTACCTCAGTCCTTATAAAAAAGCTATTCTGAGACTGTCTTTGTTGTTTTTAAGCAGCTTAAACAAGTGGCCATGTAATGTTATTCTTCAGCATGCTGCGTGTCCAGGACCTAAAGCACACTTACTTGCAGTTCATTCTTTTTCTGCCTTTGAATGTACTTTTTAAGATGTCATTGTCATCCCCAAATTGTGTTTAGCTTCAAGTACCGATTTAACGAGGGTTGATATTTACTTATACAGCTGTGGATCCCTCCCCGCTTTTATTGAGCCATGCTTGATAGTACTTTCTCTGACGATAAAACGGTAATTACTGCTTATTTCTCTTTATCCTTTTATCCTACCATGACAGTTTTATTTCCCTTTGTCTAATTAGTGGCTTGCCCATCTATTGCAGAATACTTGCTTTGCGATTAGTTAAGCATTATTTCAAGGTGTTCTTGCCTATTCCACATGCAAGATATTTATCTAATGCCAGACAGGTTTTCTTTATTTGGCTCTTTTATGGTTAAAATGAACACTAGGTATATATTACATGATTAGACATTTTGCAATCAATACTGTTTTTAAGTAAAACGGTATTCCAAATATAAAGATTTTGGTGTGGAAAATTTCCCAAAGAATCATAAAATACTGTAAGCTTATGATAAAAGTCAAATATTTATACTGTCAAGTGGTTGCACTCAGATAAAAATTCATGACAGGAAGAGGCTCTTGTTTTGTTTGTTTTTGTTTTACTTGACAAAAAGGATATGTGTAAGCCAATTTTCTGGGTAGGTTTCAATGAAATTATGAAAGTGACCAAGATTTAAACCTGCCTTCTCGCCTCCCAGAGCACTTGTGGGAGCTCTGCTTGAAACAGTGTTATTGTTCGTCCACCTTCCTATTTGAACATTGCTTGAAATTGGACTGTTCTGTAGGTCATTCAGCAGATGTTTCCATTTTGGGTATTAGAAACAGGAAAAAAATTGAGATACATATAAAGATTATATTTCAAAATTCTAGTAAAAGTACTAATTATCTTGGAAAATGACATAGCTACTATCTTTTTTACATTATTAAATGTTACTTAGATATCTACCTTTACATTGACTCAGTGATAATAGATGCCTCTTGAGTTTTGGTGGAACAAAAATGAAGAATCAATATCTCGTTGCCTCATGAGACTATTAGACTGAACAAAAGATAGCTAAGGTATATTCTTATGTAAGTGTTCTGGAGAGTTTCAGTGTGAGCACAGCAAGGCAAGGGAAGATAGAATAAATGCTGGGGGAGAATTGGTACCAGAAATAGGGAGGTATTATTACTTGTATCTAGCTGTTCCCTCATAGTCCATGTGCTCATAGGTAGGGCTTTTGGAAGGGATTCGATCATGGGTGTGTGTTACTGGGTTAGTCCACTGATTGGTTTAGAATAGTTCTGAGTGTAGGTAACAGATTTACCGAAGAGGGAAAACCCATCCTAGGTATGAGTGGCACCAACCAATAGGCTTGTAGCCTGGATAGAATAGAAATGGAAAGAAGGAAGGCTTGTCATTTTCCATTTGCCTTGCCATGGACTGTTTCTCCACTGTCATACCATCCTGCCTTGGAACCAGCCAACTATGGACTGAAACCTCTACAAACTGAGCTAAAGTAAACCTCTTCTCCTTTAACTTGTATGGATAAGGTATTTTGCCCCAGTAATAAGAAATTTACTAAGACAGGAGGTATATTGATTAGGCTTTCTCTCAAACTCTTAGTGCTCTTAGTTAATATCAATATTACAAAATTAACAGTGGAATGATTATTTTAACTTGGTAGCAACTAAGTATGAGTTAATTCATTTGTTAACCTTATGGTCTAGCTATGATCATGAAACATTTATTCAAATATGAAAAGGTACTTAATGAAATAGATTTTAATTTCATAAGTGTTTTTAAATTTGTAAATTTATGTTAAAGTCTTTAATTTCTAAAGGACTATAACAATGTAATGATGCTATTAGGGTTTTAACTTAGCATATAATAAAAGAAAAGGTTGTTTACAATTACGAGACTGTTGATAAATCTCCAATCTCAGTGAAATAATGTGATGGTTTCCTTTTTTAAAAAGAGATTAAATGAAGCTGATTATGGATATTTACACTTCTGCAAGGCCCTTTAGTTTTATATTTTCCACCTCATAATCACCTCACATTTATTAAGTACCTGCTATGCAAGATGTCATAAATCAGTATGTCCATGGGTTTCTCCACAAGTTTATATGTCATTCAAAGATATATTGCTTTCCACTGCTAAGAAAATTCTGCTTTTTTAAAAAATTGAACCCAGGGCTTCACACATGCTAGATAAGTGCTCTACCACTGAAGTACATCCCAGGCCTTTTTACTTTAAGACAAGGTCTCACAGATTTTTCCAGGCTGGCCATAAACTTGTGATTTTCCTGCTTCAGCCTCCCAAAGTACCTGGGATTGTAATTGTATACTACTGCACCTGGCAAGTTTTGCTTTTGACTGGAGATAGAAAGGCATATCTGCATTATTCATGCCCACGTGGTCGGCAGGCAAAAGTCAGATGGCTTTTACAGTTCTACACGACCAGAAGTGTCTTTTAAATCTGAAACATTTAATTTGAAGTGCAGCCATTGCACAACTGAAACACAGGTGCCTGCAGCTGCTTTTAGACCCCTGTGCTGTCTCTAAGACAGCAGCAGGATAGTTCTTTGTCCTGGTTGAGGAACTTCATCTTATTTCCTCTATACTTTTTAACATTTTTTCATGACCTTTAAAAGCTGAACTTTAGGCTTACAGATAATTATTTTTTTCCCAAGAGAAATAAGCCTGATGCTTCTCAATTTGAAAAATCAGTTATATAGCGTATTAATAACTCTAACAGCTAATATTTATTGAATATCTATTGGAAACATGTCTTTTCTAATTCTCACCATTTCCTATGAAGCAGGTATAATTGCCTCCACTTACAGCTATCATAGCTGAAGATTAGAGATGCTAACTCACTGAAGGGCACACAGCTGGTAAATGGCATAACCAGGATTCAAACCTGGGTCTACTTGACTGAATCTCATGTGCTCTTCTCTATCAGGCTAATTCTTTACCCTGTATTTGCTCAGGATTATTTGTGCTTTATTTATTTCATATATTTCTTTAGTATTTTTTCTCACTTATTTAGAAGACCAGCTTTCAATTTGAAATAATATGGGTTAACCTGGGTTTCTATAAAAGTGATGAGAAGTGTCAGTTATTGATATACTTTAAAAGTAGAATCGATATTTTCTTTTGGATTGGATGTGGGCCAGGAGAGATAGAGAGAAACCATGAATGACTCCTAAGACTTTGGGCTGATAAATTGATAGTATAGATTGCCATTTCCTGAAATAGGGAGACAATGTTGAGAAAGCAAGTTTGTTTATATGTGTGGGTTGTGTTCCTAGTGGTTTCTGCATTTTCTTTTAAGAGATGTTAAGATTGAGATGCATATTACCTAGCCAAGAGGAACCAATGATCAGATAGTTAGGTCTAGGTTAAACTTAATATGTTATAGATAGTTAAAGCTCTTTTCAAACCTATGAAATATATGTGCCAGTAGGCCAAGCCAAAGAGTTCCATTTGGGCCAACTTTGGCTATTTTTGTCATAAAGAAATTTTACTGTAGTGCATAAAGTGTCACAGAAACTGAACCAATGGCAGGGAAATCAACAATAAGTCAAGCTGCTTCCTGGTCCAGAAAACAGGGATTAAAATATCCATTGTGATGCTCCCCCAAAGATACGAAGGCCCTAATGCCTGCACTTCAAAAACATGTTAGCTAATGTGGAAGAGGAGAACTAAGGCTGCAGAAGCAATAAGGAAGTAACACAAAAAGGCAAAACAAAAGCTGTCTTCCAACTCATATACTTACCCAAATGCTGGCAGCTCTTTCTCTCAGCATCTTGTTCAAAGGCTCTAACCCTGAGAGTCAAATTGCAGGGCCTGTGACCTATACACTCCAGGGGCAAAAGGTCTTTCTCTGTCAAAGTTCATTTGCTCCCCATACTTCAAACAGGAAAGCTAAGCATTCCTTCTGCAGTAATGTAGTAGAAGTAATTGACTAGATTCCTCTGCACTACATCTTAGTGATCCTCTTTAGGATGCTTGGAGTCTTCAGACACTATTGTCTTAAGTTTTATGGCTTCATTCAAAACTCAGATAAGAGAAGAAATTTTATTTATCATCTTGTACATTCCATCTTGAATTAATTGTTCCAGTCTATAAGCTCTGGTACTTATAACATTTTCTAACTACTGCCCCCCCCCCCGCTCTGCCTAATGTTTCTTCATTTTGATAATTCTATCTGGCCTGGGCATATGCGTAGCAGTTATGAAGTCATGGAATGTCTGAAATAATGAGTGAATGTGAAGAAAAGTCAGATAATATCTGCAGACTTCCTCAGCAGACAAGGGGAAGAATACGAGAATAACAAAGCTCAAGAAAAAAAGCTGTTAAAGCAGAAAAATATCTTAGAAGGGCAAATGATATTTTGAAAGAACTGAGAATAAGTTGCACTCTGGATTTTGAATAGGTAATTATAGGTTTTATTTATGAGAATATGAAAAAATGCAGGTTTATTTCTCTGATTTGCTGAATCCAAACAGTTAATTTGCCATCTTTGCATATCAAGGATGACTATAACTTTGCCTTGTAAATATAGTCTAATTTGAAAATAAATTCTCGTATGTTATTTCAGCTTAGATGTATTTTCTTTTTTCCCTGATATTTCCCAAAGAATGAAATGAGAATCTTGATGCCATGCAGTGTTTCTCTTACCTCCAGGAGGTAATTTGTGTCGGCAGTTATCAGATTAGGACGCAAAAACTTGGTCTGTACAATGCCATTCTTTTGCT